AATAGTTGATAACATGAGAATTATGCTGACTGTTATTTACATCAATTATTTAGGTAAATGAGAAAAATATAATTTGCATAATAATTTGGAATAGGGTGTATATATATATGTACACCTAAATTGCAGTGGCCTAATATGACAGACCACACTACCAGTACTAACTCCCCAGGACCAACGACCCCCATGAGCATACACAAGGATGCAGAAGGGTGATCTGAAACCAGCCGAGAGCTACCGCTCCCACGTGCCTGGCTCGCCCTCCCTCCTACGCCCACGCCACCTGCGAGCCGCGATTAATCCGAGACCACGGTCGGGAGCGTGGAAGGGAGTGAGGGACGGAGACAGCTCCCGCTCGGTGTGGGGCTGCCAGAGTTTTACCCTGCAGCCCCGGCGCTCGGACAACGGGTGGCGGTTCACAGAACCGCTTCCCGGGGACTGCGATGGGAAGTAAAGGAGATACCAAACAAAAGAAAGGGGGGGGGGGAAATAAGGCTGGGGAGAGGAGGAGGGGAGATAAGAAAAAGACCCCCCAAGCCCCAAAGGAGTAGGATCGCCCAGCCAAAGCACACACAGAAAAGTTAAACTAAAAATTGTGACAACTACATCTGAAAGCTGGTAAACCATAGTTAAACTAAAATCCCCATAACCATATCAGTAAAACATAAAATACAGAATCAGCATATATAAATAAAGGCCCACACCCACCCATATGAAACAGGGGGCAGTGATACTCTGACCTGTATTGATGTGGAGCAGCAAAAAAAGAGGAAGTAGTTGGTTGGGAGGGGCCTTATATGGTTTCATTACTTTTTTGTGATCGTTTTTTCTCTCTATGTTAATGTGCTGCTGTGGAGTTCTAGTAAAGAGAGACTTAAGCAAATATGAAGCCTCCTGTCATGCTATAAAATTGTGTCGCCATATAGTAGTGAAACGGGTCAGGGAGTCCTAGTCCTCCTTGTCCCTTTGGTCTAGTTAGTGTATTGAAAGAAAGTCTAGGCCTCCTTCTGAAACCAGATATAGTCAGTGAATAATTTGCATATAGACATGAAGAATGAAGGTGGGACCCCTATAGGTAAGGTTTGATATAGATAGAGGACATTCATTTTAATAATGTTTATGCTGCCTATCCAGGAGAAGTGGGGTCTGTTCCATTTTGTGATGTCTTTTGTTAGTGTTTGTAGCAGGGTTGTATAATTATATCCAAACAGGACTTTAAGTTGTGGGATGATTTTTATTCCTAGATACTTGATGTGTGTTCTAGTGAATTTAAAAGGGAACGAGGATTTGAGTGTCTGCAGGCTACGTTCTGTGATCATGAGTGGAAGGATTTCACTTTTTTCATAATTTATTTTGAAATTTGATAGTCTGGAGTATGTGTCCATTTCTGTGATCAGGTGTTTAAGGGAGCTTTCGGGGTTTGTAATTGTGAAGAGAAGGTCGTCTGCATAGGCAGAGATCTTATAGGCCTGTCGCGCCGGATATGTTAGGGTTTGACCGGATGGCATTGAGAAAGGGCTCCAGTGTGATAATGAATAGTAACGGGGACAGGGGACACCCTTGTCTTGTGCCGTTTCAAATAGGTAGTGTATTGGAGAGTGTGCCATTAACTTGTATTTTTACCTGTGGGGTGGTGTATAAGGCTTTGACCATGTTATCCACTGTGTACCAAATCCCATCTCCATCAGCCCTCCAAAGAGCAGAGACCAGTCCACCCTGTCAAATGCTTTCTCAGCATGTACACTGAGAAGTGTGGGGACATTTTGTGTTGTTATCTTGTGAATAACAGGTCCTAGGGGCACAAAGATGCCCAGGTGACCGGCAGGAGGTGGGAGCACAGAGAGTCCCTCTCATACCGATCACTTAAAGCGGCACTGTCATGCCGAATTCCGTTTTTTTTTTAACCCCCCTCCGGCCTCCACTACATCTAACTAACACCCTAGTCACCCCCAAATGTCCCCCCCAACCCCCCACATTACCTATTTTGTAATCTTTATTTTCTGCCCCGATCTATATTCAGGGCGCCGCCATCTTTGTGTGGGTAGGTGAAGTCCCTGTGGGACACGTCATCAGCCCACACTAGATAGCCTGTGAGATTCCCGCACATGCCCAGTGAAACACCTGGACATGCGAACGGGAATTTCATCTATTCATTCATTCATTCATCAGACAGACGAATGAGTGAATAAAAAAGATCAGCCGAACAAACAAGCACAATGTATCAGTGTTTGCTTGTTCGTGCAGGTTATTACAAGGAGGGAGCTACCGGCGTGCAGCTCCCTCCTTGTAATATGTAACTATAGAAGTGGCAGGGAGCAGTGCTCCTCACCACTTCATAAGCCCCCCCCAGGTTCCCCTCTCACTCTATGGGGGTCAATATGACCCCCATAATAGCACAAGGGAGATTAAAATCTCCCACATGCCTCTACTCGCTAGACCGCGAGTAGGGGCATGTCTACTAAACAGTGAGCAGCCTGTGGCTGCTCATTGTAAAAAATAAATAAAAAAACAACTATTGGCCCCACCCCTAAACGACGGGTGGGGGCCCTAAAGTAAGATAAGGGGGGAGACCTAATATCGTCCCCCCCGGCCCACACCCCTGGGCAGTGGGTGGGGGCCATAGTGAGAATGAGGGGGGGGACCTACTGCCCCCCCCAGCCCCCACCCCTGGGTGGCGGGTGGGGGCCATAATGAGAATGGGGGGACCTACTGACCTCCCCCGGCCCCCACCCCTGGGCGGCGGGTGGGGCCATAATGAAAATGGGGGGACCTACTGACCCCCGCGGCCCCCACCCCTTGGCGGTGGGTGTGGGCAATAATGAGGGGGGGACCTACTGCCCCCCCCCGGCCCCCACCCCTGGGCGGTGGGTGGGGGCCATGAAGATAATGAGGGGGGGACCTACTGTCCTCCCCCCCCGGCCCCCACCCCTGGGCGGCGGGTAGGGGCCATAGTGAGAATGAGGGGGGGGACCTACTGCCCCCCCCCGGCGGCTGGGGGCCCTAAGTCAATTACCCCCCCCACCAAGGTGACTAGGGGTCCCAAGCCCCTAGTCACCCACCCCACACCCCAAAAAGTCCCTAAAAAATAGTGAGGGGGAATAAAATAACTAACCTGTAAAATAAAATTAAACTTACCATTCGACGTCTTCTTTTTTCTCAAATCTTCATTTTTCAGCCCCAAAAAAGGCCACATAAAAAAACCATCATAACCGTCGAATTGAAAATAAAATTAAAATCCTGAGCGCAAAAAAAAAAACCCGACGAAAAAGAAAAAACCTGAGCGCAAAAAAATGGGAAAGTTCTTTTGAATTTTCCCACGCTGTGTAAAATGACACAGAGCACTGTGATTGGATGGATTTCAATCCATCCATACAGCTTCTGTGTCATTTTACACAGCGTGGGAAAGTTCTTTTGAATTTTCCCACGCTTGTGTAAAATGACACAGAGCACTGTGATTGATGGATTTCAAGCCATCCAATCACAGCTGTTTGGCCACAGCTGGGAAAGTTCTTTGAATTTTCTCCCACGCTGTGTAAAATGACAAAGAGCACTCTGATTGGCTTAAACCCACCAATCAGAGTGTTCTTAGCCTAATTGCAGGGTGTGGCAAGGCTTTATAAGCCTTCCCCTGCCCTGCGGAGCTCAGTCTGCCCGGAGCCCTCCATGGGTGAAGATGGATTATTTTTTTGCGTTCGGGTTTTTTCTTTTTCGCCTGGTTTTTTTTTTTGCGCTCGGGATTTTTTTTTTTTTTTTGTTTGATGGTTATGTTGGTTTTTTATTTGGCCTTTTTTGGGGCTGAAAAATGAAGATTTGAGAAAAAAGAAGACGTTGAATGGTAAGTTTACTTTTATTTTACAGGTTAGTTATTTTATTCCCCCCTCACTGTTTTTTAGGGTGAGGGGGTTAGGTAGGGACTTTTTATTTGGGGGGGTGGGTGACTAGGGGGCTTGGGGACCCCAGTCGGTGGGGGGGGTGGCTGACTTAGGGGCCCCCACCCGCCGTGGGTGGGCTGGGAGGACAGCAGGCCCCCCCTCATTCATTTCATGGCCCCCACCTCTGCCTCTCAGGGTGGGGGGCCGGGGGCAGTAGGTCCCCCCCCTCATTATTGCCCCCAGCCGCCCCCCTATTCTCATTATGGCCCCTACCCGCCACCAAGGGGTGGGGCCGGGGGGTGGCAGTAGGTCCCCCCCCATTCTCACTATGGCCCCCACCCGCCCAGGGGTGGGGGCCGGGGGGGGCAGTAGGTCCCCCCCTCATTCTCACTATGGCCCCCACCCGCTGCCCAGGGGTGGTGGCCCGGGGGGGGGCAGTAGGTCCCCCCCTCGTAATCATTATGGCCCCCACCTGCCGCCCAGGGGTGGGGGCCGGGGGGGGCAGTAGGTCCCCCCCCTCATTCTCACTATGGCCCGTACCCGCCGCCCAGGGGTGGGGGCCGGGGGGCAGTAGGTCCCCCCCTCATTCTCACTATGGCCCCCACCCGCCGCCCAGGGGTGAGGGCCGGGGGGGCAGTAGGTTCCCCCCCCCTCATTCTCACTATGGCCCCCACCCGCCGCCCAGGGGTGGGGGCCAGGGGACGACGACATTAGGTCTCCCCCCTTATTTTACTTTAGGGCCCCCCACCCGTCGTTTAGGGGTGGGGGCCAATAGTTTTTTTTGGTTTTTTTTTACAGTGAGCAGCCGCAGGCTGCTCACTGTTTATCAGACATGCCCCTACTCGCGGTACAGCGAGTAGGGGCATATTATTTACTAATACTAAGTAATCTTTACTTAGTATTAGTAAATGTGGCTGAAGGACCAATTTAGGTCTTTCAGCCTTTTAGTAGATAGCTCCCTGATACCGTGGGAATTAGGGAGTTATCTACTAAGCGGCTGCAAGATGCAGCCACAGCAATCTATAGGATCGGAGTTTCATTCATTCGAATGAAATTCCGATCCGAATAAAGTGCCGAATTGCGTTCTAAAAGAAACTAACATAATGTTCTCATTCAGTTAGAACACAATTCGGCAGTTTTGTGTAAAGTGACAGGAAGCATTGTGGGAACACAGAGGAAAGCTAGGGATCATGGGAAAATTGCTCTGACCAGTGGAAATGAAGCACACTTTGCTCCTCCGCTGGTCAGAGCTGGTCAAGCGGAGGAATCCTCCATAAGGCAAAGAGTCCCTACTTTGTCTTATGATTTTAAAGAAAACTAAAGAAGACAGGAAGAAAAGAATAACAGATCCCGAGAGAGGGGAGAAGAGGAAGAGATTGAGGAAAGGTAAGTTCGGCATGACAGTGCTGCTTTAATATAGCCATACCACATTTACTCACCCATTGTACTCTGATGCAAGTGCTGGTCGGGTGAGGGGAAAAAAATACTGTGCAGCCTCAGAGGTGATAGTAGAGAAAGGGAGCAGTTGCGGCTAATCACGTTATGAGCTATCTGGAGAAAGAATTACAGCTTCCATATGACAGCAACACCTAGTTGGGCCCAGGTTTAATAATAGTAAAAGACAATAAGTGTGTGTAAGGGCCTGTGTTAGTGTACGTAAGATCCAATGTGGCAGATTTCCCCAATGCAAAGTGTCTCTCTCTTAAAGTGGGGGTATGTCCTTCACTAAAATGGGTTTCCTGCAAAAGAGCCACTGACTTTGTATGCCCATATGTGCATGGACGATGGGACTAGTCATGTGAAGAAGAAATACACAAAACAAAACAAAACAAAAAAGGGGCAGTGGGCGAAGATAATTCTATTTTCAAAGGAAACTTTGACACAGTAGCAAAGATGAGCAGAGGAAACAGCCCGAAATTAAGCCCAACCTCAAGCGCAACTTGATAATCCCCCACGTATGTATGAGTTACGTGGGTTCGCAGAAGAACTTCTTCTAAGTGTAAAACACTGATTTAACAAATTGACACAATTAACATATATAAATAAGGAAATAACGTCAGGTGTGGGTCCCTGTTGTTGTGGATCAGAAATTGATCTTTGTTATATTCAGAGGAAGCCCAAATTGTTGTTACAAGTGCACTTGGAGAAGCGAGAATTAGACACCAAACACCTGTTGGTATTCAAAATAAGCCTCTGACGTTTTATTCATCAGCTGGGTTTTATACATTAAAAAGTAAGTGCTTACGTGCAAATACTCTTAGAACAGTAATAGGAAGAGAATACAGATAAGACATAGGGATGAGCGTCATGTACACATAACAAATACGTTTTCAAGGTAAGAGAGAACAAAATGATTAGAGCAGAGACATCTTAGGTGGGGGCTCTCTGCTCCCAGAACTTAGACATATATGGTCTTAAGTGTTGTTTTAGCATCAAGCATTTCCTGAGTCCAAGTTAGCCAATTTTAATATAGGATATCATTATATGACACCTATAAGCTTGAGCCTTGGAATCAAGATAAATTCTATCACACTGTCCCCATCCATTTCTGCTCAAGAAATAAGCAGACTACTCAATATAACATATCTTCATGAGTGGTGCAGTCCAACAGTATAGGAAAATTTGGATCCCAAGAAACCGGAACCCCTCCACCCTCACAAATCCAGAGACAACAGGCAGGACAGAGTTAATCAGTCCCCTCCAAACTGTGGCAAACAGGATTGGGGATATGTAGAGGGTAGAGGCAACAGTCAAGCTCTCAGCTCAACTTTATGGTGCCACCCACTCGGAAACCTGCCTACTTAATCGCACATCTATGAAAATAAGGGCACCAAACGTAATAGCTTCACTACCAAATGCCGATTCCCCCCTGGATACCTCAAAGAGCATCGACCATCCCCAGTGTGCCACCCCAAAACAGCAGCATCAAGACCAGTGGGTGGGAACTTCAGGCCTGAGTAGTAAGTCCGAAAAGAAATCTCTATAGGACATTTATGCAATCCTCAGTAGAAACTGGGCCACAGGTACATAAACTTAGTATGGATCTGCCATCATACCTGATCCCCCATCCAAAGTTCTCAGGTTCACCATCCAGGAGGAAAATGGGCCCCACATGTAGTACATGTTCAGTCCCATAGGCTGGATCTTCTTGTGAGTGTGTGCTTCAAAGAGAGGCACTCAGTAGCCCATCCATGTCAACCCCTCCACCAAACCTCCTTATTTTATAACATGCAAAAATTGCCCGAAAGTTGCTGTTCCGAGAGGGAAAGGCCAAATAAGTAACACAGAACATAAAATCAAAAACCCAACTGAAAAAGATAAGGCCCCAGTTGCAATGTATACCTCTAATATATATCTCTAAACACATTTGTGTTACCTATAGTGGATTGACCTATTCTCCCTTCTGAAGGTTGGAGAGTAAAGGCCTATTCTTCCAAGCCATTCGAGCCTACTCAGCATTGCAGTGAGGAGGAAGAAGAGGGATCCATATTTCTCCCTGGGAGTCCCTTCAAAGAAGCTGGGCTCAGAGAACCCAGATTGCTGAATATCTAGTTTGGCACAGATGTTTTCAAGAGTCATTGTGAGCGTAGAAAACGAGGGATATCCTCTGGTCAAGGTAAAAAGTGCCATGTGTTACCTGAGCAAGCCTAAAGGCTAAATGGGAATCCCTACCTATATGGAATCCCCTTCTGTCTGAGAATTGCCGCGATCAGCTGTAGCGCTCGCCATGCATCTAGAGTAAACATAGGCAAGTCCTGATCTAGGGGGTATTTGGGAAGTGGATGCTTAGACAAATTGATGTTGAACATCAGTTTACAGAGCCTCAACACTGGTCTCCAAGGCTGAGATATCCCTCCTGTAAGGGATCACCTGGCACCCCGACTGGGCACCTCCATCAACGAATGCTTCCTAGCTGATGCCAAGGACTATAAGCACTGCACCGGACACCACAAGCACTGCAGACTCCACAACCGCCGTAGCTTAGCTGGAATCTCACCATCTTCTTTCCACCCTGGAACCACCTCTGACATCCAGGACCGTGTGAGGAAGACCTCTCCTCCAGGAGAGCGTAACAGGAACAGCTCTTAGAAGAGCTAGTGATTATTCAATGGAGTATGATGAGCCTAGCAATCCCTTGTAGCAGTTTTCCCCAATAAGAGACAGAACTCAGCAGGGCGGCCACCCTGACACAGCCCACGGACTGGGCCCCCCGGGCCCGCCCCCAAGTCAGTCCACATGACCCGGCCCTTCCTAAGTCCACCCACAAGGATGAAGTGTGTGTGTACTGTATTTTTTTGTGTGTGTATAGTAGCTATAGAATGTGTGTAGTGGATACAAAGTGCGTGAGTAAAGTAGATACGCTGTTTATAGTGGATTCAGATTGTATGTTTGTGTAGTGGACAGAGTGTGTGTGTATAGTGGATGTATTGTGTGTATAGTGAATGCAGAGTGTGTGTTTGTGTATTGGATGTAGTATGTGAATAGTGAATGCAGAGTGTGTGTTTGTGTAGTGGATGTAATATGTGTGTATAGTTAATGCACAGTGTGTGTTTGTGTAGTGGATGATGTATGTGGTTGTGTAGTGGATGCAGTGTGTGTGTTTATGTGGTAGATAATGTGTGTGATTGTGTATTGGATGCAGTGTGTTTATTTGTGTAGTGGATGATGTGTATGGTTGTGTAGTGGATGCAGTGTGTGTATTTGTGTAGTGGATGATGTGTGTGTATTTGTGAAGTGAATGATGTGTGTGGTTGTGTAGTGGATGCAGTTTGTGTATTTGTGTAGTGTATGATGTGTGTGGTTGTGTAGTGGATGCAGTGTGTGTATTTGTGTAGTGGATGCAGTGTGTGTATTTGTGTAGTGGATGATGTGTGTGGTTGTGTAGTGGATGCAGTTTGTGTGTTTATGTAGTGGATGATGTGTGTGGTTGTGTAGTGGATGCAGTGTGTGTATTTGTGTAGTGGATGATGTGTGTGTATTTGTGTAGTGGATGATGTGTGTGGTTGTGTAGTGGATGTAGTGTGTGTATTTGTGTAGTGGATGATGTGTGTGGTTGTGTAGTGGATGCAGTGTGTGTATTTGTGTAGTGGATGCAGTGTGTGGTTGTGTAGTGGATGCAGTTTGTGTGTTTATGTAGTGGATGATGTGTGTGGTTGTGTAGTGGATGCAGTTTGTGTGTTTATGTAGTGGATGCAGTGTGTGGTTGTGTAGTGGATGCAGTTTGTGTGTTTATGTAGTGGATGATGTGTGTGGTTATGTGGTGGATGATGTGTGTGGTTGTGTAGTGGATGCAGTTTGTGTGTTTATGTAGTGGATGATGTGTATGGTTATGTGGTGGATGATGTGTATGGTTGTGTAGTGGATGCAGTTTGTGTGTTTATGTAGTGGATAATGTGTATGGTTATGTGGTGGATGATGTGTATGGTTGTGTAGTGGATGCAGTTTGTGTGTTTATGTAGTGGATAATGTGTATGGTTATGTGGTGGATGATGTGTGTGGTTGTGTAGTGGATGCAGTTTGTGTGTTTATGTAGTGGATAATGTGTGTGGTTATGTGGTGGATGATGTGTGTGGTTGTGTAGTGGATGCAGTTTGTGTGTTTATGTAGTGGATAATGTGTATGGTTATGTGGTGGATGATGTGTGTGGTTGTGTAGTGGATGCAGTTTGTGTGTTTATGTAGTGGATGATGTGTGTGGTTGTGTAGTGGATGCAGTTTGTCTGTTTGATATATGTGTGTGGTGGATGTGTGACAAATGCTGCTGGGAGGTATTTAAAAAAAAAAAAAGTATTCCCCCCTCCCTGCCTCTTACCTGTAGTCAGGGAGGGGACACACTGGATTCCTTGGTGGTCCGGTGGCTCCGCTTGTTGGTCCAGCAAGGAGGAGCCCAGCAGACTCCCTCCATGTTCTCCCTCCTGCCAGCCAGTGCTCTATTTATGACGCGAGCCCAGCATGCATTGCATGCCACGGAGCGTTGTCATGACAACCCGCGGCAACGCTTTACTGCTGTGGCTCGCGAGAGTGCTGGAGGGGAAGGTAAGTATATCCTGGGCCCGCAGAGGCATATATACATAGCGGTACTCGCTATATATATATATATATGCAGATTGAAGGGCTGGGGGCCCGGGCATGCAGAGGATTACCTGTGCAGTCCGGGCCCCCCCTGATGGCGGCCCTGGAACTCGGTATTGAGGGTGAAGTAAGACCGAAGGTTTGGCTTTATATACAATTCCTCAGGCCAGAGGCACACATCCTGGGCCTGATGGAGCACCGCACTACAAACTGTACAGACCAATAAGAACAATATAACAATGTCTAACACCCACACATACAGCACACAATCCCTCCCATCTGCCTGTGATA